TTTTTTTATTATGTTATCGGTTCTACTAGTGACCCAACGGTTGAACCACCAACCCACTAACCCGGTCCCTTTCCTGGATTGATATTCGGGCCGGGTTTTAAAACTGTGGTTGTGAGTTTTTTGCTTGCCCTTATTCTGTTCATTGTGTGCTTTCCGTGAGTAAGTGTAAGAATTGGTTGAGATTGAGTGTGCACCTTAATGCCATCACGCTACGAAAAATTCGAGTGCTAATTTGACCCCCGTGACATCTATGATAACGAAGAGTATGAAAGAAGTTAGCTCCAGTCACCCCAAGATGCCAATATAAAGGCCCTATCCATCCAAAAACACGACATGCCTCTCTACAAATAACTTTATGCACTGAATTTTGCTTTGGTTGAAAATTTCCTAGTTAGGGGTAAATAGGAAAATGTCCTAGAATATTTCTCAATATTTGATATCTATTTTAAGGTAATTTGAAATATTAGCTTAAGATTACTCGTTTAATAATTAATCTCTAAGAGCATTTCTAATCATGACTCAAATTTTTACTCAAATTTAAATTAACATTTGAGTAAAACACTTGATTTGAAATAAATGACTCCAATTGACAAACTCAAATTTAAAGAAGAGACCCAAATTTAAATGAGGACAAACCCAAATTTAAAAGGAAGTAAGGATAACCATTGAATCTTTAAAAGATGGTGAAATCTCACCATTAAAGATTTGAGTAAAGATTTGAGTCTCCCTTGATTTGAGTAAAAAAATAAGTTTTCCTTGATTTGGTATAAATTTGAGTCAAGGGTTGGAGCAAGTTTTTTAGACTTTTTTACTTAAATTTAAATTTGAGTCAAAATTTGAATAAGGTTTAGAGATGCCCTAATGAGTAGTTTCTTTTTATTCAAACGGTTTAGATTTCATTTAATTTCACCTAACTTAATACGTCCAATGGTACATAATTCACCAAAAAAAAATCCTGCTCAAACTTAAAAATCCCTATTGCACGTCCCCCAACCCATGTCAGATACCCCTCCGCTCGTTGCCTGTCTTCTTCTCTCTATATCTATATAATAAAACTATTTCTCATCGTTACACACACTCCCTCTCTTCCCCCCCCCCTCCAAAAAAAAAAAAACACACCGTCACACACTCCCTCTCACAGTGTGCTTCACTCCCTCTCATAGTTTTTGCATATCTCTCTCTCTCACCATAGACGACGAAGTGACACAGACCCATTGCCAAAGCCACAGCGCCACCACCAAGGTATTGTCCTGCCCCTCCCCTCCTCTCTCTTCCCCATCCCCTGCTTCACTCACAGACACCCCTACCCCAAATTATCTTCCCCAAAACCCCCACAAAGGCCCACGTGATCGTTTTCTCTCTCTCTCTCTCTCTCTCTTTGTGCACAGACGCACCCTCTCCTCTCTTCGTCCCTTGGTTTGCATACACACACACACACACATCCTCAGTGAGCACAACCCCATCCCCACCCCTCAGTGAGTACAACCTCTTCCCCCACCCTCTGAGAAAATATAATTATTATTGATCAAACATCCACGATTTCAACATTTTTAATAAACTTTATCTTAAATTTCAAGAAAATATAACTATTGGTTTCTCTGCAGGTTTCTAACTAAAGTTAATAATATTATCTTTGCACCATTTTTTTCAATATGAGTTCGTGTAACTTATGAGGAAATCATTCAAAAACTTTGCGCTAATTCTCGTAAATGTAAAAAATTTTGTTGAAAAATTAAGATCAGTTTCCATTTGAATTCAACTTGAATATTCATAAAATTCAATCGAATTTAAGTTTAAGTAAGAATTTATACTTTACACTCAACAATTAAATTCAGTTCATTTTTGAGTCTTAATTATAATCACGTCAAACCGAGAAATGAATTTAAGTTTGACTCAATTAACAATTCTATCTTAAACCTAAAACTAATTTTTATTTATTCATGTTCACAATGACACTATAATTTTTTTTTAATTTAATTATTTATTATTATTTTAACACTCAATTTCAATTTGACTTAACCTTGAATACTCATAAAATTCAAGCAAAGTTAAATTTAAGCAAGAATATATATTTTATACTCGACAATCAAATTCAACTCAATTCAAATCCTAATTAAAATCACCTCGAATCGATAAATCGAGTAAAATGAAAGAATTGTTACAATTTTTGGGCAGAAAAAAGATTTAGAGTTTCGATCATTTGATTAATAATTTTAAAATAATCTAAGCCACGAAAAGTTTAAGAAAAACAATGCTATCTCCCTTATTATATAAATATATTATAAATTACATATACATTATTCACCTATTATACCATTCGAATATTATAATATTTTTATTTCAATATGAAATGATCAATATTATAGTCATTCGACTCGCTTTCACGCAAAAGAATCTATATTTAAGGTCCATATAAAGAATCATAATAAACAACCAAATTAATGTGTTAGCAATTAATTTTTATACTGGTTATCATATTATGTTGAGAGGCAGAGAAAGCTAAGTAAGAAAGACGTGTGAGTTGCATGATTATCAGATAATATAAGATAGAGAGAGTTATAAGAGGGATAGGAGTCTTAGAATTGTAGAAGGAATGAAAGTCTTGTTCAAAAAATTGGGGGAGAAAAATTTCGCATTAGGACCGTTGGATCAATAATCTCCTTAAACAATTTGAGCCGCTAAAAGGTCAAGACAAATAATCTAACTATTTTTATTATATAGATAATATGTAATTCCAATTCTATATTTTAAAACATGATCCATTTTGAATCCTCCAACATAGCTTAACATAACAACAATTCAAATGTCATCAAATTTTATTCAAACGGTTCAAATTTCATTTAATTTCTCCTAACTTGATACGTCCAATGGTACATAATTCACCAAAAAAAAAAAAAAATCCTGCTCAAACTTAAAAAATCATAATGCATGTCCCCCAACCCATGTTAGATACCCCCCCCGCACGGTACCTGTCTTCTTCTCTCTATATCTATATAATAAAACTATTTCTCACCGTTACACACACTCCCTCTCTTCCCCCCCCCCAAAAAAAAAACACACCGTCACACGCACTCCCTCTCACAGTGTGCTTCACTCCCCCTCACAGTTTTTGCACATATCTCTCTCTCGCCATAGACGACGAAGTGACACAAACCCATTGCCAGAGCCACAATGCCACCACTAAGGTATTGTCTTCCCCTCTCTTCCTCATCCCCTGTTTCACTCACAGACACCCCTACCCCAGATTATCTTCCCCAAGCCCCCCACAAAGGCCCCCGTGATCGTTCTCTATCTCTCTCTTAGTGCACAGACGCACCCTCTTCTCTCTTCGTCCCTTGCTTCACACACACACACATGCATCCTCACTGAGCACAACCCCATCCCCACCCCTCAATGAGTACAACCTCTTCCCCCACCCTCTTGTTGGAATTTCTCACGATTTAAATCCACTAACAAACACACACAATCGAAGAACAAATCAAGAATATAAAGCAATAAGAAACAAGAAAGAACAAGACACAGATTTTTACGTGGTTCGGCAATTTGCCTACGTCCACGAAGCTGCAGGGATTTCACTATTGAGAGAGTTGAATACAGAGAGCGGCTGTACTTCCACGATTAACCANCAAAAATTTCAAAAAATTATGATTTAACACCAAAACTGTAGAAACTTTTTATAAAACTGCCCAGATTACTTTCATACCCTATTAAATCACATTAAAAATATTATTCTATGTAAATGATATATAAATTATATATCAATGGATAGAAAATATAAAAATTAAATATAGAATCACGAAACCCCCACGAACCCCCACGAGGCTTGTCCATGAGCGCTACGGCTTGGGCCTATCGGCCCAAGCCTTCGCTCCATGAACTAAGCCTCAGAAAATTTTCCATTAAAAACCACATAACATTATTTCGGATCGGGTCATCATCCGGATCACATATACAAACTAGACTCCATAAAAAAACTAACACCTCTAAGAAAATATAATTATTATTGATCAAACATCCACAATTTCAACATTTTTAATACACTTTATCTCAAATTTCAAGAAAATATAACTATTGGTTTCTTTGTGGGTTTCTACCTAAAGTTAATAATATTATCTCTGCAAAATTTTTTCAATGTGAGTTCGTGTAACTTGTGAGGAAATCATTCAAAAATTTCACATGAATTCTCATAAAATGTAGAAAAATTTGTGGAAAAATTAAGATTAGTTTTCTTTTGAGTTCAACTTGAATATTCATAAAATTCAATCGAATTTAAGTTTAAGCAAGAATTTATACTTTACACTAGACAATTAAATTCAGTTCATTTTAAGTTTTAATTATAATCACGTCAAATCGAGAATTAAATTTAAGTTTGACTCAATTAACAATTCTATCTTAAACCTATAACTAATTCTTATTTATTTTTGTTCACAATGACACCATAATTTTTTAATTTAATTATTCTTTATTATTTACAATCAATTTCAATTTGACTTAACCTTGAATACTCATAAAATTCAAGCAAAGTTAAATTTAAACAATAATATATATTTTATACTTAACAATTAAATTCAGCTCAATTCGAATCGTAATTAAAATCACATCAAATCGATAAATCGAGTAAAATGAAAGATTTATTACAATTTTTGGGCAGAAAAAAGATTTAGAGGAGTTATTGCCTCGTGCAAAGTTTAAGAAAAACAATACTAGCTCCCTTATTATATAAACTAGTTATTGTCCGTGCCTGAATGCACTGTACGACAAAAAAAATCAATTTGAAAGCACTGCGTTACTTGTAAAAAATGAACACATAATACTAGAGTTGCAGTTGTTGTTCATGTGACAAATGATGCTATAGGGTGTGCAATTGACGATACAAAGCGGCTCTCCACAATAAAGGAATTGCTTTGTAATAGTCTTAAGGGAAACAATGACTTGAAGACAACAAAAATGACACTTTCACCTCCTTATTTACGCATAGGGAGAGAAGATTACATCAGATCATGCTTGCTAATCGGGACTATGAAAAGGTTGACAAATTTGAATGTGGGAGAATTGATGATAAGAGCTCAAGACCTCATGTGACAATATTTGATTGTATTGAAAAGGATTACACAATGATTACCATTAGGTCAAAAGACATGCCTAAGCTGTTGTTTGATACTCTCTGCACTCTAACTGACATGCTGTATGTATTATTTCATAGAGTTTTTCACACTGGGAGGATGGAAGCTTTTCCAGTAAGAATATATTTCTTAAAAAGAAAAGTACGATTTGGAAGTGAATGATAGTTGAGGCAACAATGTGAAACCAATAACAAAAATTAGAAGTGTGAAAGACTCAGACATGTGAAACCAATAACAAAATAACCTGCTTGAAATGTGAAACCAATAACAAAACAACCTACTTGAAACCAATAAAAAAATTGCCTGCTCAAAATTCCAGCTGAAAGACTCAGACATGTAAGCTGAAACAATGGTTCAGGTGCACTTTAATAGCTGAGAAGTAACAACTGGAAAGAGAGAGGAGTTGTTGTATTGAATGAATTGAGGGCAGCAGCTAAACAACGACTGTTCTAGCTGCTACTTTGTTTTAAGCATCTAATTGTAGGATGATATGATTGTGGTTATTTCAGGTTATTCTTTCAGTTTAACATGGATAAAGAACTCATTTGGAGAAATAGAGAACTCATTTGGAGAAACATGAATGAACATTTATAGATTGATTCGTGATTAAGATAAATCTCCTAATATATAGATTGGGTGAATGAACATTTAGCATTGATCTATATCCACTGTTATTGTGATTAAGATAAATTGTTAGGGGCTTTAGGGTGTTTGTGGATTAAAGGGATATGTATGGATTCAATGTATAGGAAGGAATTGCAGAGTGTATTGGGAGGGAAGGCTGTGAGTTTGCCACAGGTGTTTATTAAAGGGAAGCATATTGGTGGTGTGGATGAGATTAAGCAACTTCATGAGGTTGGAGAGTTGGCAAAGCTTTTGGAAGGATTCCCAACTCAAGATCCAGGGATTGTTTGTGACAGTTGTGGGGATGCAAGGTTTGTGTCGTGCCTAAATTGTAATGGAAGTCGAAAAGATTGATTCGGTGCCCAAATTGTTGCTCTTGAATGCTGCAATGCTGCCAATAAATTATGATATATGTTTTGTTGTATGTTATGAGCAATTCTACTACTAAGGTTGCATATATCTCATTGTTTAGGATATTGTGTTGAGACTTGTTTCTTTTGTGATGTCTATATTGCGTAGCTTTTGGTTATTCTTAATTCATTGTCTCTTTGAACTAAACTACCACTGAAATATTAAAAAGGTAGCATTATTTACTTGTTACTCAATTCACAGGGAAGCTTGTGAATAACAAAATAAACAACATGAAAATTTTAGCATTTACAAATTTTTCCTAAATATTTATACAGTTTCACAGAATTTTTTTCCCAAACCCAAAACGGAACAACACAATTATCAATTTTTTTTTCCTATCCAAAACACGAATTCCTCAATCACAAATTCCTGTCCAAAACATGAACTTTCAAACACAAAGGCAATCACAAATTCGCAACACAGAGACTAAAAACAGCAGTTATTCATGCATATACATACCTATATACAAAAATCTCCTATTCAACAAAAACTCCAATCTCAAACGGAAAATGTAAGCATAACACATACACACACATAAATGTGAATATCCAAAGCGTACCTTTCTCCTCTCCTTCTCTCTTTATGCCTTTCGTTATTGTTTTTTATAGGAGTCAATTGAAACTCTAATTCTAACTAAAACATTAAAATTGGTACTTTATTTGATTGGAAAATGTTGGCAGTTTGAGCAGTTTACCTTGAAATGATGAATACCACTTCCAAATATGCCCACAACTTTCATCTGGACATTAACATCATGATTGCTCGAAGTTGCAATTGCATGATTAAAACCCAATTAACCAAACTAATTGAAGAGTTCATAGGAGTCAATTGAAACTCTAATTCTAACTAAAACATTAAAACTGGTACTTCATTTGATTGGAAAATGTTGATCAAAAGGGAAAAATTTGAGCGGAGAATGACTCTTCCATGATAGTGTACCTAGCACAAAAACAATAACAAAATGCATGAAATTTGGAAACTGGGTATTAAAGAGAGAAAAAAACAATGCAAACCAAGAGAACGAACATAGATCCTTTACAAAAAAATAAGTGGGTAAAATTGTTTCTTCTCTTTAGCCTTCTGTCAATCACTTAGAATGCATAAGTGGGTGGTGGCAGTAATGGCTCTGACGCTGCTGGTGGTATCATTAAGAAATTTATTCTCAGAATTTGGCATAAACACACGCACACATAGTGCTTCAGCATCACTATCATTTGCAGCGAGTATTGACAAAGAAAGAGAATGAACATAGAGAGAGAGTATGAGCGAATGAGTGAGTGAGAGAGAGAAAAATAAGTACCTAGGCAACGGTGTTAGCTAGGCTGTGACTTTGCTGGTGGAGGAAAAACAGCGACACAAAGATTGGCATAAGAGTGTGTGAGTGAAGAATTGAGATTGACAGGAGAGAGATTGAGATGGATTCCATTTAAGAGATTTTGGAATGAGACAGAAGTGAGAGAGAGAGGCGTGAAAGATTGGGAGAGAGGCAAAGGTGTGAGAGATAGAGACGTGTGAGAGAGAGAGACGCGTGAGAGAGGAGGTGGGCAGGAAAATAAAATTCGGTAATCACTGTGCACTGTTAGATCAAAATTTTTGAGAAGATCTGAACCCTTTTTTATGTTGAGATTACGTTGTCCGTTGGATTTATTTATGTTTTGTCTCAAAACAATCTGGATCACTCTTTGTTTCTTGGATTCAAACTTCATTCTATTTTATTATATAGATATATTATAAATTATATATACATTACTCGCCTATTATACCATTTGAATATTATAGTATTTTTATTTCAATACGAAATGATCTATATTAAAGTCATTCGACTCGCTTTCACGCAAAGAATCTATATTTAAGGTCCATATAAAAAATCATAATTAATGACCTAATTAATGTGTTAGCGATTCTATAATATAAAACAGGGCAGCTTCAACAAGCAGATCCTACGGTCTCAAATTTTTTCATCCAACAGTCAAGAAATTATAATTTTTTTCCTTAATATTCTCCCCCAATAAGTCAACGATGACGACTGATCTTGAAACGATCTCAAATTCATTCATCCAACGGTCAAAAAATTAATATTTTTTCCTTAATATTTTTCCTCCCAACCAATCAAAGATTACGGCTGACTTGGATCACAAGATTTTCTCTAACATAATAATTAAATAGTTTAAATTTGTCATTAATATCAACTATGTAGTGTAACATTTTAAATTTGTATAAGAGACAATGATAATATTTTGATTATAAAAACTCATCAATTTAACAGATTAAAAAAAACAAGGGCGCTGTTTAACACATTTATATTGAATATAAATAATTTTAATTTTATTTATTTAATTAACTATCTCAAACTAACATGCCTTACACATGTTTTGAATCAAAAGTTTAAGACTATTTTTTTTTATCTCTTAAGAAAATCTAACTCTATTATGTTCTTATAAATATTAGTTTTTATATCAAAGTTTAATCTTACATTGATATGTGATATGACAAATACAGAAAAAATGAGGGTACATTATGTTGTGTATATGTACAAAACACAGGCTTGACAATAGTGGGGAAACTATGTTGTGGTATTATTACTTCAAGATTGTAAATTTGATTTAGTTCTATTAGTATTTTGGAGAATTTTTTGTTCAATTTTTACAAGTAACGTAGTGCCATCAAGCACGAGCAATTATTGGTAATTTTTATACTGGTCATCACAGTATGTGAAAGGGAGAGAGAGCTGACTAAGAGAGATGTTTATATAGACAAATTACATATATATTATTCGCCTATTATTCAAATATTATAGTACTTTTATTTCAATATGAAATATAACCCATATTATAGTCATTCGATTCATTTCAAGCAAATCATCTGTATTTAAGGTTCATTTATTTATTTGAAAATTTTAAAAATAATCCTTAATTATATAGGATCATAATAAATGACCTAATTAATATTTTAGCGATTGATTTTTATACTGATCATCACAGTATATTGAGAAGTAGAGAAAGCTAACTAAGAGAGACGCGTGAGTTACGCGTGAGTATCAGATAATATAAGATAGAGAGAGAGTTATAAGAGGGATATGAGTCTTAGAATTGTGGAAAGAATGAAAATCTTATTCAAAAAATTGAAGGAGAAAATTTTCATATTAGGACCGTTGAACTAATAATCTCCTTAAACGATTTGAGCAGCGAAAAGTTCAAGACAAATAATCTAACTATTTTATTGCATAGATAATATGTAATTCCAATTCTATATTATAAAACATGATCCATTTTGAATCCTCCAACTTAGCTTAGCATAACAACAATTCAGATTTCATCAAATTTTATTCAAACGATTCAGATTTTATTTAACTTCACTCAACTTGATGAGTCCAATGATACATTATTCACCAAAAAAAAAAAAAATCATGCTCAAACTTAAAAAACCCTAATGCACGTCCCCCAACCCATATTAGATACCCCTCCCCTCGCTGCCTCTGTTACACACTTCCTCTCTTCTCCCCCTCCCAAAAAAAAAAAACACATCGCACTCACTGCCTTTCATAGTATGCTTCACTCGCTCACTATTTTTGCATACATCTCTCTCTCGCCATAGACGACGAAGTGACACAGATATGAATGACAGTGGACCGGAGAAAAATAGTTATTTGTCCAAACTCGTCCTGTTTGAACCGGGGATAGACTATACGTATTGGATAGTGGACGTATACGGGGATACTCGTATAAACCCTTGCGAAAATAAAGACAGGGATAGACTCTGCCTCGCCCCATCCCGTCCCCGTTACCTGTTATATATATATACTAGTCATAATCCGTGCCTGAAGGTACGATAAAATATAAAGTTTGAGTGTCCAAAAAATCGATCCTACTATATTAAATTTTTTTAACATATATATACAAATTAATCAAATATTAAATGATTAACTATAGATTAATTAAATATTATATGATTAATTACAAATTAATTAAATATTATATGATTAAATATATGATATAAATGAATGATATGATATTTTTAGGGGAAAAATACATAAATAATTAAATTAGTGATATAATATTTTTAAAGGTGAAAATATGTAAGAAATAAAAATTTAAATTGCTATCTTTTTTATTATATATATATATATATACATATAAACTCTCAATTAAAACCTAGACTAACTTACTCCTCTTCCTCAGTCGATGCCGCCCCTCTCTCTCTCTCTCTCACTCACACAGAATCTCACTGATCTGAGTATATGCTGCAATTGCAAACCCGGGCCCCTTCATCATTCATCTTCATCGTCAGTTGCTGCAAACCCGCGCCTCCTCCTCTTCGAGACTCTCGCCTCTTGCCTCTCTCTGCTTCTCTCAGTCGATCAATCCCTAGCGCCTCCTCCTCTTTGAGTCTCAGAGACTCTCGCCTCGCTCGCTGTCTCATAGTCGAAGCCACAAGCATCCCAGGTTCTCTCTCTCTCCTCTCTGAGTTCTATATGATTGTCAGTGCTGCAGTATTTGCCGTTGCGCATCTGACTCCTGGGGAATTGCCACAGTTGTTTGTACTTGGTTTAGTCTCTTGATATTGAAAAATTGACCTAGATTTAAGATGCAGAAAATTTGGATTTCTAAAAAAAAGTTCAAAATAGGGAAAAAAAATCATCGAGAGACCATTGCTAAATGAATATTTCTGATCATATTCTAGTTTCCGATGATGACAAATTTCATTCATAGTTGTTCCGATGTTGACAAAGTGAAAGGATTGTTTTGCACAATGATATTTGTTATTTGTCCTTTGCNAATCAAAGATTACGGCTGACTTGGATCACAAGATTTTCTCTAACATAATAATTAAATAGTTTAAATTTGTCATTAATATCAACTATGTAGTGTAACATTTTAAATTTGTATAAGAGACAATGATAATATTTTGATTATAAAAACTCATCAATTTAACAGATTAAAAAA